CCCTGTTTATGGGGTCTTCTCCCCTTTTATACATTCTGATTAAGGGTAAAAATAAGGTAGGTAAATTAATTACATCGTGGATCCCTGTAATTACGCCTTAATGGCCTGAAGTGGTTGAGAAAATCATGTTTGGGCGAGATATCCGGCGACGCTTGGTTATCCGTTACGAGTCCGGCTTCCGACCTTGTGTGTTTCTCCATCCGGTGGTGACTCATATCGAGCTCTGCAACGGTCTCGAAATGACTCGACCTCGGTTGTAGACGTGGCCGTCGTTCTACCTTGCATCCAGGTCGGGTTCGATGGCCCCGACTTGCCCCGGACCGGACCCAACCCGGTCGGGCTCAAGCAAAAAAGGGTATCACCCAATACAATGTCTTCGTCGGCCGACCTCTCGCAATTTCTGGCAGCTGCGTACGTTAGCAGGGGATCCAACTCCCCTTCATTTCCTAGTCTCTCCATTTCTCCAAGTTCCTACTTGGATTGGAGAAATTTGTTGTCATGATCCAAATTCCACCATCGGAGACCGTGATGGTGCCTAACGTTTCACTTGCTAGGCAAGCCAACGTTAGCTAAATTACTTAACTAGTTTTAACAATTCAAATCAAAACATTAACAATAATAACTGTAATAGTTTGAAATAGAGTAATATAATACTGAATAACGTAATCTAAACATATCCCAGAATCTGGAATCATGAATACATGAACATCTAGAGCGATACAGATAAAGTCTAACCAAATAAAACTGTTTGAATCTTTTCTTTTTGCTAATGAAAGGGGAGTCTATTATATTAAAAGCATAGAAGTTTAATTATTACATAACATAGGGATAGACCGCATAGCGATTTTTCCCAATATGTCTTTAATAAAAACTTGTAAAATAAAAGTCGGAGGTGTTTCCCAATATATAATGTTATCTTCCTCTGTTGATGTCTGTTGCTTGGTGCTTCCATACTTTGCCAGAGCGTCAGCTACAGCGTTGCCTTCCCGATATACATGTGTTATTTCTATCACTCCAATAGCATCAAAAAGAAAACTGCGATCATGAAAAAGATGTGAGTACGAGGTTGTTCATCTTTAAATAAGTTGCATAATACATGTGAATCTGTTTCCACTATAATGGGAAAGAGATCTTTTGTGAAGGAGAGTTCTAGTCCTGCCATTAGTGCCAGCAATTCAGCATGAAGACTGGATGTTGCAGCTGCCTTCTGCGCAAATCCCACTATCCAATTGCCATTGTGGTCTCTGATGATTCCACTAGTGCCACTGGTTTGATTGTTTATATCATAGGCTCCATCAATGTTTAGTTTGTAGTAGTTAGCAGGTGGGAGCCATCTTATCATTATTTGGAGCCTAGGTTTGATGGCACATTAATCCGGACGAGTGAAATGAATTCAGCAACTTGTATCATAATTTTTTTGTGGCATGTAATGGACGAAGTGTGGTTGAAGAGGTTTGAGTTTCCATTAATCCAATTATTCCAAAGGATGAAAGGCAGTAGTGTAGAGTTAGGAGTTTTTAAGGAGGCATTTGTTGTGCGGATGTTAGTGTCTTGGTGACACATATCCTTTATCCAGTGGCCAAAGTTTTATAGTTGAGGCCTTTGTAGATTGAACAAAGTCCATAAGTGGTAGGACTTTTTGCACGAGAAGAATATGTGGTATATGTCCTCTACTACTTGTGGGCAGAATTGGCAAATGTTTGTTTCGAGTACGTTTTTTTTAAACAGGAAGTCTTTAGTAGGTAGTTTGTGGTGGACAAGAAGCCACATGAAATATTTTAGCTTGTTCAAAAACTTGAGCTGCCACATCTAAGAGTTATTTGCAGCGTTGGGTTGCACTATTTGGTTGGTGATCTGGAGTTAGAGCAGATAGGTTGACTTTATGATAAAGTTCCCAAGAGGTGTTTGGTTCCAGTATGATTCATCAGGTTCTGTTGAGAAAGGGATGTATATATTTTTTATTTGATGTACGGTATCAGGATTTAGGGATAATGATAATCTATCCAAATGCCACGAATAATTTGTAATGATTGATGACATTGTTTGTTGTTCCTCCATGTGTTGTAGAGGCCCCTGTATGAAGTTGCGCAAACACTTGTTATAAGGCATCCAGTTGTCATTCCAGAGATTGATTTTTTTTCCATCTCCTATGTTCCACGAGAGCCCTTTGCGGAATAGTACGTTTGCTTTGGCCATGCTTTTTCATATGTATGAATCAGGTTTAGCCTCGTATATGCCTGCGTGTCTATGTTGAACATATTTTGCTTGAAGATTTTTTTACCCAAAAGGACCGATTGCTCTTATGGAATCGCCATAGTAAACCTGCTAGCATTGCATAATTCTTCTCACTGGTTTTATAAAACCTCATTCCTCCGAGTAATTTTGGAGTTGTTGCAGCCTCCCAATTGGTAAGATGTACTTTCCTTTTTTCTGGTGTTGAACCCCATAGGAAATTTCACTGGATACGGTCTATGTGGTTCCTAGTAGAAATCGGCAGTAGATTATTTTGCATTGAGTAATTTGGTATGGAGGCTAGTACTGAGTGAATGAGGGTGGTTCTACCTGCCATGTTGAGAGATTTTTCTTTCCAACCGGATAGTTTGTTGTTCATTTTGTCAATTATAAATTGGTAGTCTTTGCCTTTTGGGGAGGGGGGGGGGGGGGTNGGGGGGGGGGGGGGGAAGTTGGTCAGCCGGAAGCCAAGGTACTTGCCAAAGATAGCAGCCTTGCTAATATTTAAGGTACTGGTAAGGCATTCTTGTGTGTTGATTGGAGCATTTTTTGAAAAGAAAACTTTTGGTTTTGAGAAATTGATTTCTGCCCTTATTGTTGGTGGAGGGAGTTAAATATATTAATAATAGAGTTGACGTTGTGTATGTCAGCACGCGCGAAGAGTATCAGGTCGTTAGCAAAGAGCAGGTGTGAGACTGGGGGTCCTGATCTACTAATTTTTACTGGTGTCTAATCGCCATTGGCTGTTGCATGATCAATTTGGTGGGATAATACCTGCATACAAATGATGAAGATGTATAGGGATAGGGGGTCTCCTTGTCGAATGTCTCTCGATGGTTCAAAGAATTTTATTGGTTTTTCATTGATCAAAATTGAGATAGTGGAGGTTGAGATGCAATTCATAATTAGATTGACTAGGGAGGTGGGAAATCCTAGGTTGTAAAGTGATTTGCGTATGAAGGACCGTTCTAGTCTATCAAATATTTTTTCTAGGTCTAGCTTAAGCATCATGTTTCCATGCGCCCTGACATGCGTTTGAAGGAGTAGGTTGATTCTTGTACTATGATTGCATACAACCTTCTACCGGTGCATTGATTGGGACTAATGAGATTTTTTAGGAAAGGGAGAATTCTGTTGATAATAGTTTTGGTAATCGTTTTATAGACGGTGTTACACAGGCTGATTAATCTATATTGGGATATGTGCTCAGGGTTTTTAACTTTTGGTATGAATGTGATAAAGGTGGTACTTATCTCACTTGGAATGGTATAAGATTCAAAAACATCTACACAAATTTGGATCACAGCGCACTTGGTTGAGTTCCAATGTTTGTGAGAGAAGATTGGATGGAGCCCATCCGGCCTAGGCGCTTTGAGGGGTTTAAACGATTTTATAGCTCTATGAATTTCTTCCTCTGAAATGGGCTTTGATAGTTAGCTTCTAGACTCCTCGGATAGAGCATAGTCAAAGCGCTCGTGGAAAGTTTTGTTGCAGACATAAGCTCAGATGAATAGATTTCGTGGTAGTGGTTTAGGATAATAGAGTTAATTTTTGTGTGGTCATATGTCCAGGTACCCACATAGTCATGTAATCCTAGTATATTGTTACGTCTTCTTCTTTGGATAGTAGAGGTGTGGAAGAATTTTGTATTTGAATCCCCCTCATTTAGCCATTTCACTCTAGATTTTAACTTCCAAAAATCTTCTTCGTGCTTTAGTACGAAATTAAATTGTTCTCGAACATTATTTTCAAGGTTTTGATGGAATATAGATTTATTAGAATTGTTTATATTTTGAAGTCCTTCTAGTCTTGCTAGGAGGATTTTTTTTTGTGTGTGGAAAATATTCCCAAAAATAGACTTATTCCAATCTTTGACATGGGTGGTGAAGTTTTTCAAAGCATAATAATATATGGAGGATTGGTTCTAGTGGTAATTAACAATATTGATCAAATCCGGGTAGCTGAACCACATGGTTTCCAGCCTAAATAAGTTGTTAGGCTTTGGAGTTTTTGATAGTGATAGTAGGAGTGGACAGTGATATGACTGTGTGCGTGGTAGGTGTATGATAGTGGAGTCAGGGTGCATGCTAAGCCATGATGGGTTTGCGTAGAAGCGATCTAGTCTTTCCAAGATTATACTATTTCTACTACTCCTTAAGTTTGACCAGGTGAATCGTGGGCCAGTAAACCCCATATCAACCATGTTAATATTTTGGAGAAAGGTTATTAGGTCATTTGCTCTATTATTATTTATAGGGTTTCCCCCAAATTTATCCACAGCAGAAGTAATCTCGTTGAAATCCCCACACAGGACCCAAGGCGGTGTATGGGTTACAGAAAGCTGTTCTAAATTCTCCCAAAGAAATTTTCTATTATTAAAATTAGTACTTTCACAAACAAGAGACGATATCCAGGGCTCGTGGGACTTACTTGAATATTTGCATGGATTTCCTGATTGGTAACTCCAATGGGGTCCACCTGAGCCACTTTGTGATCCTTCTACAGCATGATCAGTCCACCTGAATAACCTACTGCATCAACATGTAGCATATTAGTAAAACCTAGCTCCAACATTAGTGTTTCATGTGCTTCTTAGACAGACCATATTGGGATTATTCCAAGAGAGAATTGCTCTGAGATTTCTTCCGAACTCAGCCACATTTGCTCTCCTACAGTTCCATAGCAGTATCTTCATTAAGGGTATGTGTTGTGTTATCCTCTCTTGCTGATTCCTCGTTGGGTTCAGAGTAAGAGATAGTTGTTGGTAGTTATTGTATTCTTGTAGCGGTGCTTGTTCCCTCAGTATTGGGACCATCACAATGGAGTAAGATAAGGGGTCGATGGGGTAGATCCTCATGTTGATGCCCATCTCCGTGACTGGTGGGGGAACACTGATAAGGAATTTTCTTTAGTATTGTAGTTCCACCAGTAGGAATTGTGGCAAGAGTGGTACAACTTGTTCTTCCTCCTGTGGTTCTGGTGAAACGTGTTGGGGCGCCATAGTTGGTGATGAGCTCCATAAGTTGGGTGGTGGGGGTGTATTCCAACGCAGAGTCTGGTCTGCTGCTTGTTGTGTGGCTGCTGCTGCCTGCATGTCCAGGATCTGATTGTTGAGCTCCAGTGCTATGATTTCTTGCACTTGTAGTCGTTGGTGCGCATGCTGCATCCTCATATTTGAGTGGAGTCCTTGGGAGACATAGTGTGATAGAGTGGTCGTGTTCTCCATTAGCATGGTTACTTGCTTCACCATGAAATCAAAATTTCAGTACCTTGGTAGTTGCTGTGTTGGTGTGTCCTCCTGTTGTTGTGGTAGTGGGGTTTGTGTTGCTTGATGGTAGTAATGTTGGTGGTTGAGTTCGACGTTGTTTTAGTAGGCTAGAGGGAACTGATAGGGATTGTATTATCCATTCAACGGGTAGTGGTAACCCATCGGAGGGAATGGGGTTTGGAGATAGAAAGTTTAAGTGACTGAGTGTATTGAGTGTCCGTTGTACGTGGTAGGTAGTTAGTTGGAAAAGGGGGGTTGTTAGTAGCGCACGTCGTTGCTCAGGTTTGTCCTACTTGGTTCCCCATAGCTCCGGCGTGAGCTATTTCTCAAAGGTGAGCGAGGCATTTGCCAGTTGCAATGAGCGATATTGTTCTGAGTTTTGTGATGGTGTGGTTTGAATTTGGGTGTTGATGGTTTAAATAAGAGGATTGTAGGGAGGGAGGGCCTGTGTAGGTGGGGGTAGGTATTGATCATGTTGATGGGGGATGATGGGATTTAACCCGCCGGCACTAGTGCAATCTAAGAAGAGGGGTGTCTGTGGAGTTGCAGGTACCTGCCATGCATTAAATGCACTGTCGGAGGCGATCATTCCTAGTCTAGACGCGGGTGTAGTAGGGAAAATTATTAGTTTGATAGATTGGATAAATTTATCCCGGTTGGATATAATTGAATGAGCTTCTTCAGCAATGTTGTGTGGGCTTTGTTGCCTTTTTTGGGCCGAAATACTTGATAGGTCAGTTGTTTCCTTTGGGATAATTTTGGGGTCATTTATTTCAGGTGATTTAGTAGTAGGGTAGGGGATATTTGGAAGATATTTGGTGGAAAGTTTGTTTTTGGTTTTGGTTGAAAGGTCATTTTTAGATTGTAGGGGCGTGTTAGTGACTAGATTTTTAGTAGGGGTGTAGGTGGGGAGTAGTCATTACTTGGAATAGAATTGTCAGAGGTGTTATGAAGGGTGTTGTCAGTTTGTGTATTGGATAGGATAGAGAAAGGATTATGTGTATGTACTAAAGATGAAGAGTATTTGTTGTTAGTGTCTTTCCCATTTGTGGGTGATTTTTCACATGCCACGTCATGTATTGACGTGTATAAACTTGGTACAAGTGTAATTTTTGTTTCCGTTTGTGGTTGAGTAGGCTCTACTGGGGGAGTGGAATTAGGGTTGCGTGGCTTTGTCTTGGCGTCAGGATTTGTGATAAAATTACGTGTACTGTTCGTAGTGTTGATGTCGACTCTATTGCTTCTTTTGGTTTCTTCGTCAGTGTTGATCATTGATTTGTGCCTCTTTGACGACGGTGGTTTGACTCTCCTCTTCCTTACCCATTGAGCTTCCTTACGTTGATTGCCCAGTCCTGCGTTTGGTATAACTACTGATATTGGAACTAGCACTTGGTTTAGGTTGTGGAAGTTTACCTGCTCTTTGCCTTTTCTCTTTGGGTATACAACTGTTTTCCAAGGCCCTTCAGATGCTGATTTGCTTGTAATTTCTTCATTTGTCGTAGTTTCCTGGGATTGTGTCTTCATTGTACATTGGTTATGTTTATGCCCTAAGCATCCACATAGGGTGCATATTGGGTTTGTGTCCTCATAATGTATTTGCTGGAGGTGGGTTCCCAGTAACACTGATGTTGGTAGTTTTTTTCCTATTGGAGCAAAGATGCAGAGTCTTGCATATTGTCCTCTAGTTGCTTGTGCTGTGCAATTGTCAATTTTTGGTAGTGTGCCTAGCATTTGGCTGATCCTTTTTAGAATTGTAAAATCATAGAATTCAGTTGGCAAGTCTTGCAAACGTATCCATATTGTGGTTGTGATTTCTTTTGCTTCATATGGGTCGAACTTTGGCTCCCATTGTCGGATTGATAGGTATTGTGACCCAATAAACCATGGACTCTGTTGTAAGGCTTTGTTGTAGATTTCTTGTGATTCAAACTTTATGACGTAGAAATCATTACCCAAGTCTATCAGATTTAGGGCTTCTGCGGATCTCCATAGCCTATGTATTCTATCCCTTAGTTGTACATATCCTAGTCGTTTCCCAAGAAGTTTTATGATGATAGCTTGTTTCCATGATTGATATAGCCTTTCTTTATCTTGTGTTGAAATGGGTATGAAGTTTGGGTGGTTTGCTGGGTTTGTGTTTTCGTCTTCAAGTGATATATTGTTGAAGGCGTCGCATTCAAAATCCAGAGGTGTGGTGTTGTTGTCAGAGGGGATTAGTTTTTCCTTGAAGCTATCTTTTCCATGTGTCCCTTCCTTTGGTTTGTTTACGCCGCGAAGTAATTGGTCAGCCTCTTCATCATGCATCACTGTATCTTGCGTTGTTTCCATTGCTTCCATTGTCGATTGTGTGTGATTTACTGATCTTTCTTTCTCTCTAGTATGCATTTGGATTATAAGTCATTGTTTGAATCTAAATAAAAGGTAATGATAGACCGGAAGGGGACTTCACGGTTGCGGACGCCATGCAGCTATACCTCAAGTCTCCAAAAGTAGCTGAATCCGAGTAGTCTCGCTATGTGCCGTTAGGACCCACACCGGTATCTGCACAGGAAGTGCAAAAGTGTAGTATGAATATAATCGACTCATGTACCATGTAAGTGTCGAGCCTAACCTCGACGAAATAGCCTCGTCACTTGATAATAACGACAGAAAAATAGGGATAGAAATAAAGCAATCATAAAGACGGACCCGAAGGTCAACTACCAGAGAGCCCAGAATAACAAAGTCTCATATCACAATACTGAGGATAATTTAACAATCACAAACAATTACAACATATCCGATCTATTGCGGCTCGCAATCCAATCCAATCCCACCATACTATTATCTGTTCATATTATAATCCATCCTTATTCTTCATATCATTTCAATACCATTTACTTTCGTTGCGGAGTGCAACTCACCCCCAAATAATTTTCAAGTCATCAACATAAATGATTTAACAACAATATTTACAAAACATCAACATCAAGAAGGTGAATGTACAAGACAGTAAAGAACCATAGAATAATATCTAGCATCCCGAAATCTCAAACTTTACCAATTCATCAGTACATAACAGTTAAACATTTCACATAAGTACAATAACATTTTAGAGTGCATCAAATAATATAAGAACAATAAAAAAAACAGGTAAAATATGTAACAGTTAAAATATACAATTAGGGCAAGTAGAAACAGATGGCAAATAAGCAGAAATCATATTAGGAATGAACAAATTAAGACAAGTAACAACTAAATAACAAGTAAACAAAATAGCATAGAAGTCGAGTAAAAACATGTAACAATTAAGGCATATAACGAGAGATATCATGAAATAAATGCATGAAAATAAATATCCAAATTCCGCATGCTAAATACCATAACGGCGTATATACACTCGTCACCTCGCATATACGACGTTTCTCCACATAATTCACGTAACAATTAATTCAACAAATCCTAATTCCCTCAAATCAAGGTTAGACACAACACTTACCTCACTCCACGAATCAAAGCAATCAATCAACCACGGCTTTGGCTTTTAATTGAGCCTCCAAACCAACCAAATCTAACAAATTACCGATCAAATAATTCAAAATAAGCTTTAGAAACAACCCATTAATGAAAAATATTCAATTTTGATCACTTTTTAAAAAGTCAACACCGGGGTCGCTTGGTCAAAACCCGAAATTCAGACCAAAATCCAATTATCCATTTACCCCCGAGCCCGGTTATGTGATTTATTTTGAAATTCGACCTCAATATGGGATCTAAATCTCAATTTTACAAAATTCTCATTTTCTACCCAACTCCATAATTTCTACCATGAAAATCCTAGATTTGATATTGAAATCTCATGAAAAATAACGGGGAATTGAAAGAAAGTGAATTAGAGTTGTTTACCAATGATTTTGGGAAGAAAAGTCTCTTGAAAAATCGCCTCTAGAGTGTTTAGGGTTGAGAAATGGTGTAAAATAAGATAAATCCCGATTTTTTTTCTTTTACTCAACTGCAGATATCGCAATTGTGATGTCTTGTTCGCAATTGCGAAGCACAGGTCGCAAATGTGAACTGTGCATCAGAAGCCCAGATATCGCAAATGCGAAAACCCAACCTTCCTAAATGCGGTCAGAATCTTCGCAAATGCGAAAATGTTCTATTTTTGCCAGGCATCGCAAATGCGACCAAATTCTCGCAAGAGTGATCCTAGACAGTTCGCAAAATGCGAGGTTACCCAATCTTACGCCCTGCTAGCAAATGTGAATTTTTGTCTGTAAAAGCAAGGTTCGCAATTGCGAGATCTGCACCAAACACCAAAAGTGAATACTGCATCAGCAGTCCGCAAACTCTCCAAACTTATCTGAAACGCGTCTGAAACTCACCCGAGCCCCTCGAGCTCCAAACCAAACATGCACACAAGTGTAATAACATTATACGAACTCGTTCACGTGATCAAATCACAAAAATAAAATTTAAAACTACGAATCGAACATCAAAATGAATGAAATTTTCAAGGGAAACTCAAGAACAACTAGAACCACATCTGAGCGTTTGAATTATATCAAACTAACTCCGAATTGTACCGAATTTTGCAGACAAGTTTCAAATAGCAAAACGGACCTATACCAAGTCCCAAAATTAAAATTTGAACCCGACAGCCATGAAGTCAATTTACGGTCAAACTTAAAAAAATTCCAAACTTTCATATTACTAGCTTTCGGTAAAATAAGTCGAATCAACCTAGGGACCTCCAATTTCAATTCCGGGCATATGCTCAAGTCCAAAATCACAATACGGACCTACCAAAATTGTCAAATGCCGATCCGGGGTCGTTTACACAAAATGTTAACCGTGAACAACTCAAGTTATTTTTAAAGCCAAATATTATATTTTTCTTCAAATTTTTACGTAAAAAAATTCCGGAAAGACTCGGACCATCAAATGGAGCTAATAGAGATCTAGGGACACGAAAATAAAGACTAGTACTCAAAACGACCTATCAGATCGTCACACTTGTCATGGTTAAAAATAAATGGATGAGATTTAATTAACTAAAATAAAGGTCTTACTATAGTTAAAGTATTTAATTCCTTCTTTTTCTATTCCCAAATAATTTTCCAGCATTTTACCTCCTTGAGTTTGACTTTTTTGTAACTTAAATTGGTTTAAATGAAAAAAAAAATTATAACAAACCTCCCATCATGCAATTCTTTTTATACAATAGTTTATTCTCGCATAAAAGAAACAAAAAACGTAAAAAAAAAAAATGTAAACTTTGTTGAAAAAATACAAGAAATATCCGAACATTAGTCATGAAGGAACATGTCTCGTTACTGTAACTTCTCTTAGAAAGATTCTTTAGATTTTCTCGTCAAAGATCATCATCGACAACTCAGACTTACTAGTTATGGATTTTCTCAATTTTTTCTTGCTTGTTGTAGTTATAAGATTAAATTTGCTATTGAACGTAAACTTTTATTTTAAATTCTCAATCTCCTTCGGAATTATTTTTTTTGTAATGCCATTTATATAAACTCATGGTTAAAAAGCTTGGAAAATATTTGGGAATGAAAAAAAGAAGGAATTAAATACTTTAATCATAGTTAAGGCTTTATTTTAGTCATTTGAATCTCATCCATTTATTTTTAATCATGACAAGTGTCTCCAATCCAAGTAGGAACTTGGAGAAATAGAGAGACTAGAAAATGGAGGGAAGTTGGATCCCGTTAGTAGGCACACTATCATGCACTGCACCGAGAGAGAAAGAACGAAGAGAAAATATTTCAAAAGAATAAATTTAAAGAGCTGAAATATATCGGAGTAAAAGAAATTCTAAAGAAAAGGTTTATCTTTCTTTGCTTTAACTTTTAACTAATGTTTATTTCTTCATAATAAAATTTGTTTAATGATAAAATTTGTATTGTTGAAATAATTCAAGTATTTTCATCATTTCCTTGCAAGCAGGGCGAAGCCAGAATTTAAAGTTACTGGGTTCGAAATTTTAGTTCTTTTAAATTATTGGTTCTAAATTAAGAATTTGTACATATTCAATAAATTTCTTACGGCAAATATAGGATTTGGATAAAGTTACTGGGTTCGGCCGAACCCGTAACACATACTGTGGCTCCGTCCCTGCTTGCAAGTTATGCGTAGTACAAGTAGACAAATTTTATAATATAAATAATATTATATGATGATATGATTCTTATTTTAATTTGTATTGTAGTAGATAGCAAATTTTCAAACAAAATTGAAGATAGAGACGGTTACAAAATTTTCTCGGACAGTTAAGCTATGCTAAAAATTTTGCATGAACCATTGTGCCATAATTTTAACTTAACTCTGATACTCTTTGGTGTCGAAAATTAAAAAATTATTGGAAAGATATATAGGAGTTTCCGTGAGTTATTTTTTTTTCTTCTATTGTTTTTTTTCTTACTATATGCCTGATTTGACTCAAAATATATCAATAATAATATTTAAGAAAAAATAATATTTATATAAGTTTACTCATAAAATAGTAGAGTTGAATTTGTTACGTGGTTTATGGACAAGTGAACTGATTTGATCCAAAAATGATAAATAAATAAGATTAAAAGTAAGACTTAGTGTAACGATCCGACTGGTCGTTTTGAGAATTAGAGTCCCGTTCGACAGCTTAAGGTCTTGAGCAGCTTCATATTATGTGTTATGACTTGCGTGTATGGTCGAGTTCGGTTTTCGGATGATTCGGGGTCAATTTGGAAGAAGGATTCTTGTTTTAGAAGCTTAAGCGGTAAGAGTTGACCGGAGGTTTGACTTTTCTGTAGACGACTCCTAAATACCGTTTTGATGATTCCAATAGATTCGTATGATGATTTTGGACTTAGGCGTGCGTCCGGATTTGGATTTGGAGGTCCGTAGAGTAAATTGAAGCATTTCGGCAAATTGAAAAGTTGAAGTCTTGAAAGGTTGAGAGGTTTGACCGAGAGTTGACTTTTTTGATATTGGGATCGGATTGCGATTCCGAGAGTTGGATTAGTTCCGTTATGTCATTTGAGACTTGCATGCAAAATTTAACGTCATTCCGGGTTGATTTGATATGTTTCGGCACGAGTTTTGAAAGTTCGAAGATTTGGAAATTCATAAGTTCGATTCGAGGTGCAATTCGTATTTTCGACGTTGTTTGATGTGATTTGATTCCTCGACTAAGTTCTTATCTTGTTTTAGGGCGTATTGATATATTTGGTTGAGGTCCCGGGGGCCTCGGGTGGATTACGAATGGTTAACGGATCGGATTTTGGACTTAAGGAAATGCTGAGGAGTTCTGGACTGGAGCCATCGCAGCTGCGATGGATTTGGTTGCAGGTGCGACA